CCCCCCCCCCCGCGCCTCTCCTCCCTCTCCCCCGCCCCCTCTTCCTCTCTTCCCCCCTTGTCTCGAAGTCTAACCTTGTCTTGTGGTCATGGGGTCTATAATTTCATTTTTGTCTAGGCTGGTGAGAGCTCTCCTTGTTCTGTAAAGTGGATGTCAGGTGGATCTATGGTCTTGAAGGAACAAAGAGCAGCGGAAGGAACAGCCGTGGAAGTTTGAGCCGGGAGGATGCAGGCTGTGTATTGGTACGCCGTGCTTCTGCTGCAGCCTCCTCTCTACCTGGTAAGTTTCAGACGTCCTCTTGTCTGGGGGGCGAAAGGGGAGAGGAATAGGGCATCACAGAAAAAAACAAACGAGCAAAAATCATCATCCCACTCAGATATCAGGCGAGATCACCCGGGTCTAAAAACTTTATCAGGTTCCGGAGCTATTATTGCTGTAATTTCTCTGCGCTCCTACCCCTTTTTCTGTGTGTGTCCGACTGTAAAGCCTGGAGGGTGGACAACCCTGGTCCCTCTGACAGACCGGTTGTACTGGGGCGACAGCTGCATCTTCCGGCGACTTTCTGCTAGCAGAGGGTTTGTGACACTAACTAGTAAAGGAAACATCTGCGTCCCTTCGCTCTGAGCTGGTTTGGAGAGGGAAACTGGGATCTATAACTTTCTCTCCAGATTGAAGTGGAGTTTCTTCTAGAGTTGCGATTTGTTCCGAGAACAAGTGTGTGTATGCAGGACACTCGGAAAGTGTATAAAGCAGGCGGGGAATCAAAGAGGTTGCCCTGTAACACGCTCCAAATCGGTAACGTTTCTAAAACCATCATTTCCCCACCATACAGGAAAGTAATCAGGGACCATACTTTATATTTAGAATGGACATTTTCTGGGCACATTTCCCCATACCTCTTTCTCCGAAGGGGGTGCAATATGATACAGAACATGCTGGGCTTTGAAATACCGTCTCAGTGTGTCTTCCTCCTTTATTCTGTATTGTAGGCAAGTTCTTGTTTACTACTTGTTATTGGTGCTAGAAACCCTTCAGGATGGGGATCACTGTCACTGAGCCACAATAGAAGACATTCATTTTTCAATAGAATACAGTACAGTCGTGTAAACACTCAGTGACAAGCACAGCTAGTATTTTCTGCATGTGTCATTGACTTCCGTAGCAAATCCCCTTTAAGATTACCAGGGGAACACAAGTAAGCATGAGTGTTATCTTCCCCAGCGCACTCTTTACTCCCTATACAATCACAAAGAACAAAACAAGGCAGACTGCATGTCTTTAGTTCAATCCTTTCCTTCCTATGGTGCATAGCAGGCAAAGAAGCTCTGTGGATCCGTTCTTGGGTTGGAAAAGCAGTCGAAGCTGATTTTAGGCTCAGACTGGGTAAAAGTGAGGGAGAGCTGCAAAAACATAAACGCATTTTCATAGCTACACTTCATATTCCGGTAGACGCAAAGGGAAGACAGGCTCCTTTAACCGGTCACAGGTTCACTGCAAGGATTCCGGGATGCTTTTCTTTGCGCGACTTCCTACGCTTGCAGACAGTGTCCGCCTGAGGGCGCTGCGTGTCACTCTCAGCGCGGCGCCGGACACCTTGGGGGTAAGCAGGTGAGCACAGGGGCAACCAATCCAGACGAGAACACACACTGCTTTGTGGCACCTGCTCGGAGTACACTCTCCCCAAATGAACAGCAGCAAATAAAGAGGCGTCCCTCAGAAAAGTGAAACAACCCCATCTAGTCCCCTTGCTCATCAGGACAAGGCAGACAGCGGGGTGGAGAAGGAGGAAGCTCGCAGCTTAGAAACGTTCACTGGATACAGCCGGATATGATGTAAAACTCGGACATGGCAATTATAGAATAAGTGAGGGATACTAATGTGGTTGTTGGATGCTGCTCAGTTAACCTTAGGAAGGGCTCCATCGCACACTTCCCTGTCCGATCCACGCCCCTGGCTTCACGGCTTGGTGGCACATCTGCAGGAAATGTTGCTACTTTCAGTGACTTTTACAGCATATGAAAAAACATGTGGCAAATAATCTATCAAACCCAGGCGCGAGATCGATACGTTGTGCTAAATTTTGAATGTGTTTGCTGGCAGTTAAACTGTTTTGCACTCATTACAACAACAGAGCTGGATTTATTCTAACGCGCCGCAGTCTGAACAACAAGCGCATTAATTCTCCTTTAATTGTAAACTGGGAGCATTTGAAAACCATTCAGTGTGCAAATTATGCTGATTCAATTACCGTTTAGTTACAGACTTCATTACCTGAATGCCTTTTTTTTCTGAAGGCTTCCCATTACAGAGGGAAGGAGAAAATTTTCCAATCTTCTTCAAAACGATGCAAAAATATGATACAATCAAGTAAAGAATAAAAGACAATTTAGGAGGAGGGGGAACTTTTCAGCTGGGTAGTGTCTTTTGCCAAAACACCCAGGGAAAAAATAAATCCAAAGCATTTTCCCACTCTAATCAGATATTTATTTTCATCTCAGTCTTTATACTTTTATTCCAACATCTTGCTACAGATTTACCTCTTATGTAAATGGCTTTCGAAGTTCGAATGAGGATATCATGCAATAGAAGGCTAATATAAACAATGAAGCCGGAAGTTTGGATTCAAACTTTAATATAGTGTTATGAACCAGCAAGATGCAACTTTGTGCTATGCCTCTACTTTGTGTGCTTGTGTGCATATGTATACACCTTGCACAAACGCAAACAACCGAATAGAGCAACTACAGTCAGGATTTAAATTGTCAGCCCCCAACCATTTAGGGTGTAAAAACAAACACTTTCTTAGTCCCACATAGCTAGTTTAAATTGCAGGATTTGGAGGTGGGGGTCAAGAATATCCTTAAATCAAAAAACAGACAATACCCAATGACAGTGTACTTAGGGAGCTTGGGCTGCACGAAGTTAAACAAATACAGAAATTTGCCAGCCTGGCCTTTAACTCAAACCACTGCTTCCCACCCCCTATCTAAAGAAGTCTTGTAAAGTGCTGTCCTCTTTTTGTGGAGATATATGCCAATATTCCATACGGCCTTATATGATATTTATAGAGGTCACTGCTGATACAGATAAATCTTAATGGATAGGAATTTTATGTGGAGACTTCCCTTGCGAAAAATGTTTCACGGTATTTATTTATAAACTAGGGGATCGTATATTCCAGATATGAACAAACCCATATTTTTTTCTGTTTTGTTCTGTATTTCGGCACTTCCTTTGGCCTTTGCATTTCCTTTAATCTAAAGGAATATTTAAGTACTTTTTTTGGTGGATTTAGGTAGGTTAGTCTTTAGAGGCACAGGGTTCTTGTCTCTTCAGTTTAGAGGATATTATGTGAAGCACATTGCGCTACAGAAAATATTTAAAATGGCTTAGGTATTCTTTTAACTAGAGACCCTCTGTTTTGCATTGTTCATTGTTAAGCATCTAGTTGCAATTTTTTGATTAAAGTTTTTTTTAACTAGTAAGGCTGCATCAAAATCGCCTCTAACGTATTACTAAATATTACTTGGGAAAGAAAACATCGCCCGTATATTGCAGACTTTTAGAACTCCTAATTTTGAATGATAGATTATTAAAAGGACACTTTAGCTTTACAAAAACTCCTAAATAACAAAGCTTATTCTCATATAATTTCTGCACCAACTCCTGTAAGCTTCCAATATGATAGAACAGAATAATGCAACGCTAGTCAGATGTTTTGTACTGTATTGAAGCAACATGCTGTAGAAGTGGCGAAAAACATATGGTTCTTGGGAAGAGATTCTAAATGGACTTAGTTCTCAGTAGGACAAGTCAAGGATGGGCCAAAGAGATGGGTCGTACCATTTCCACACAAATTATTAAGGCAATCCATTGTAACAGGGCAAAGGACTGGAGTTTGCTGGTCACGGCGCAAGTACATCCACGGGAATGTTCCATTCCAAAGGTTCTCACAACTTAATTCCTATGCAGCAGTGAAAGGAAAAAAGGATTGATTTGATAAATTAAGATGACAAGCATACAGTCAGCCCTTTAGAAGGCTTGCATGCGAGTTGTTA